ACTCCTGCTGCTGTTCAGGTTCGAGGCCTGAGAAGGCTGAGCGGAATCCTTAGGGCAAGGTGTAGGCAGGGCCAGGCCTGAGGCCGAGGGAGCAGTATGTGCAGATACCTGGAGGGCACAGTTAGTGCCATCAGGGGAACTGAGTCAGCTATTCCTGATGCCTACAGCCAGAAAGGAGGTCTGGATGGGGCTGTGGAAGCCGGATAATTGGGAAGGGGGGGGTTGTACAGCAGAGGAGCGATATTATAGTAAGGTACAGGAAACAAAAAAGGGGGGTGGGCGCTTAAGTAGGCAGTTACTTACCGAGTCCACTCGAGTATAAGCCGACCCGAATATCAGCTGAGGCACCTAATTTTACCACAAAAACGGCATAAAAAATGTGCTGAAAAACTCGGCTTATACATGAGTCTATACAGTCTATAGAGTTGCCTTGGGGAGGCTCCCTTCCTGGTTTCAAGGAGAACGGAGAGGAGGGAGGCAGCTAGAGAGAAGAGCTGATTAGGAGGCCACTGTGGTCAGCACCGAAAGAACGCGAGCCAGCAGGTGACAGTAGGGAAAGCCCACTCACTCCTCTCAGGACAAGGTTGTTGCCCCCCAAATCAGCATTCGGGGAAGAGGGAGGACACCACATATCACAAAGTGGAGGTGACTACGGACAGCATAACTGCTAAACCACTGAGAATCATGGCCCACGCACGTTGACTTCTATCACATCTTCCTTGGCATTTATTGCTGCCAGAGGTATGTCATGAATGTGCAGCGTAGTTGGATAGTGGAGTTGTAAATGTGAACTGTTGGCTAATGAGATGGCTCATAAATGAGGGTTAGGTGGTGTTGATGGAAGATTGTTTGGGGGAGCTGACTGGGAGGAAGGAGTTAGGCCCTTGATTTTGGATTTGGGTAAGCATAAATAAGACATGCACCCCTTCTTCAAAGGGAGATATATGTAAGTCTTGTCCACAGTGATGGTGTAGTGGTTACGAGTTGGGCTGCTAACCCCAAGGTCCATAGTTCAAAACCACCAGCTCCTCTGAGGGAGAAAGACGGGGTTTCCTACTCCCTTAAAGAGGAACAATCTCAGAAACCCACATGGGCAGTTCTACGCTGTCCCCACTAGAGTGGGAATCAAGTGTGTCTGGTTTGGCTTTCTGGGTCCACAGTAGTAGCTCTAATCCCAGATCTTTGAGCAGTTTGCCTTTAGAATCTGTGCTGGGTGCTAAACCGGCCATTCCAACGCGTCCACCATGCAGAGGTACAAAGACGGCAGAGTTGCTGCCATGAAGAAACACTTTGTATTGAGGAGGGGGCTGGGGAAGCACTCAGCAGCTCCTGCTTTCTCCCCCCTGCAGAAGAATAACGAGTGCCCACACTGGTTGCCAGTCCGGCTGGGCTCGGTTTTCTTCTGAGTTGCTCTCCATTGTTCATTGCGGGGCCCCATCTGGGAGGGGTGCATAATTCATGTTTCAGCTCAAGTGTTTCCTCCTCAGAGAGCATTTCTGAATACAGGACCCTCCGTCTCTTGAATTTTCTGCCTGGTGTGATTACCAGGGCACCCATCGTCTGCAGTTCCATACTTCATGGAGTTGTTGGAGTGTTCTGCACACAGCCCCTCCACCCCACCCCATGCCCCACTGGGATGTGAGGTCATGAGGATGGGGGCCCTGGGTTGGTGTGTGCAGTTTGAATTCCTCAACCTAGAAATTCCTCGTTTGAAAGAATGACGAAGTGAGAGAGGTACACAATGAGGGAGAGGCACCGTTTTCATTTGCTTGTTTGTTTTGGTGGGGGAGAGGAGGGAGCACACGTCTGCTTTGGGGTGGAATGAATTTTAGGGGGATGTGGGTAGACCTGTGAGGAACCAGGGGGCATGGGGCTTACAAGCTGGGCTGCTAAGCACAAGGCCTGCTGTCGAACCCCCCAGCCACTCCTTGGAAGAAAGAGGAGTCTTCTACCCTCCTGAAGAGAAATCCCCAAGGGCGATTCTACACTGTGCTGTAGGGTCATTCTGAGGCGGGATGGACCGAAGTTCATGAAAGGGTGTAACAGACTTCCTTGAGGCCAAGGTTCCTGGATGGTGCCAATGGTTTGTGCCCCACTGCTGTGCTAAAGGTTGACAGTTTGAACCCCGCTTCCCCACCGCCCATGGCCTCACAGAAGAAAGGCCTGGCGGCCTGCATTCCTCAGGATTACATCCACGAACACCCAGGGGCAGTTCCTGTGCTCTCTAGGGTCGCCAGGAGTAGGAATCCACGTGATGACAGCGGGTTTGTTTTCTGCTGCCTGGGGAGGCCGAAGTTGGGGCTTCCGGAGTGGTAATGTCTGGGGAACCTCTCTGGAGGGAGGGCTTGCTGGTATCGCAGAAAGAACCGTGAAAACAGGCCGGGGTGCTTAGCTACCAAATCACAGCTGTTGTCTGATGCACCTGTATGAAATGGTGAGAGCAGGCAGGTCCTGACAGACCCAGTGCTTACTAGGGGCTGGAGGAAGGAGGAGAGAGGCCGTAGCTTCTGCGCCGCCACAGCGGCTGATGTAGCCACCCTTAGCAGCCTGCTTCTTCATGCTCCGGCCGGGGCCCCCCGCCTTGGTTTCTCATGAGTGCATCATCCTTGATGTCCTTGGAGCCAAGACTTCTGGTGGTGTGAAAACTCTTTCACAAGTTACCAAAGGAGCCCTGGGGGTACAAAGGGTTAAGTGCTGGGAGAACATTAAAGTGAAAAAGGCCAATAATGGCTGACCAAGTATTACTCAAATAAATTTGGGCCCATGGCTACTCTGGGAGGGCTCCCGAGGCCTCACGCTGAGAAGCCCCCCACCCCAGACTGAAGGGCTTTTGAAGGGCAGGGACTCCCACCTGGGTTTCCTTCATTGGGCCCCAGGGGGCCTGGTAAGGTAGTCTGTATCCACTCCGGGTTGAACTTCTCCCAGTAAAATTCCAGGGGAAGGAGCCCAGTGGGTGCGTCCGGCAGGAACTTCCCTCCCAGGGCACCGTCCCCGAATTAGTCATCTCCCCTGGGCACTGTGCAGCCAGTGAGGTGCCACACACACACTTCCCTGTGTCTGAAAGTTACAGTTCAAGAGACAGAGTTCAGGAAAACATTGTTCTCGTTTGGTACCATGGGCTCTTGAACTGTGGAAGGCTGGTGGGAGGAAGAGACAAGGTTGTTTCTGGAGTGGGGTCGGGTCTGTGGATGCTCCCTGGCCGCCCCCTGCCCCCAGGAAGCCATGTGGGCTGGAGAGTCGGTGGGCATGGTCATGCACTCACCAAACGTGATGGAAATTTGCCCCCAAACATTTGGTAACAATATGCCAACGTTGACAGAAACATGCACTCTGTTAATGTCTTGTCAGACTTTTGATCAAATGTAGGTACACAGTCCCAAGAGGTTATCTTACAAATCCTGGGGTCATTTTAATTTCAAAACCAACACCTGTACAACGTAAGAGTGCTGACACTGGACTGTATTTGCCAGCCAGGTGCAGGGTGGGAGGGAGCCGAGGCGGGGAGGACAGATGTACTCTGAATACGCTAGCATAAACGCCGCCGCCACGGCTGTTGGGTTCGACTTGCGGAAAGACGTGAACGCACCTAACGCTGGATTCAGCGAACAGCAGCATTCCCTGCGTGGTTTTGTCTGCATTCTCCGACCGAGCAGCGGCATTTTCTAACTGCTTGCCTCTCGAGCACATGGCTCCTTGTGGTATGTTCTTACTAATGGTCTCTGAACTTCTTTCTCTGTCCTTCTCCTCCGGGCCCTATGTCGCTGCCTGTAGCGCTTCAGCATGGAAGGGATCTCAAATGTCATTCAGAATGGCCTCCGCCACACCTTTGGGAATGCAGGTGGAGACAAACAGGTGCTCGGTTATCCTTATTTTCCTCATTCTCTGCTTGTTGATTCTCTGGGCCAGCGGGGAGCCGCCCGAGAGCTGCCCGTTTTACTAATGTGCTAAGACCATCACTGCAAAGAAATGATGTTTCATGATGTTTGATAGTCTTGATAATGAACGGAATGTCCCACTGGGGGAGGGGGGAGCCCTTTTTTCCCTCCACTAGGGACCATAGATGAAAGGCGTTCTTAATACACGTTGCAGCACTCGATTTCTCATGCTTCCCCACAAACAGCCTTTAACACGCTGACCTCATAACTCACAGGTGCAGACGATCTGATTGTGACCGTCACTAAATGAGGTTATGCTACTCTAATTCTAAAGGCCCAAGGAACATGATCTCGGGTTCGGGGGAGGAGAGCCAGATGTTATCTTTTAGCCGGAAGTTCTCGGTCCGAAATACAGATAGCTTTAGTGGTGCTGGTAGAACCACATGTTGAGCATGGTTGCACAGCTAAAAAATACTGAAGTAGCAGAAAGAAATGTCTAGCTTCCACTTTTAAAATGCACGTGTTTTAAATTATACTACAGGTAGCCAACTTAAAGACAAAGCCATTATTCATACACAGTTGTGAATGTATATAGAATATTTCACTTTGCTTTTTAGTGGCCTCCTGGCCTTACCGTTTAAGGACCCTTGTGAAGCATGGACACACATTTCCATTAGAGAGCAGGCTGAGAATTAGCTTTCACCGTTTGCAGTTTCGGGTCAATCGAAAGACTGAGCAAGGCCTTAGGGGAAATTGAGAAGGAGTGTAGAATGTTGCTTATCGGCACTCAGCCTGGAGACCTGATTCAATCGAGCTCTCGCTCCAGAGGAGGAGAACATCGGTAGGAAGGAAAGGGGTGATGCAGCCCAGCCCAGACAGGGGTTCCACGAACAGCAGCCTGAGCTTCTGCTTGCTCTCCTGGGCTCTCACTCCCACACTATGGCAAAGCCCCTGCACCAGGGAGTCAGGTAGGAAGGCCCACAAGGCTGAGGGCACAGGCCAGACCAAGCTTCCTGATGCTTCTCAGGTGCCTGGCACACCGGCCCCGTTCACTTTGCTGTTCTTGACCAAGAAGCCCGTTTGTTATATAATTTGGGCTCCTTAGAAGTCTACACTGAAAACATGGTCAGAAGAAAACAGTTGGACTGCTTTTCAGGATCTGGACGGCAGCTGTTCTTAAGCCACCATCTTGATTGTGTGTTTTGATTGTCATCCCCTCTCCGAGGAGCAGGGGTAGGGCTGCTATGTAGGGTGTGGTAAGGGCTGAGTAAGGACTGACCGGATGGCAGCTAAAACCTGTAGATCTCCAGATGCATCCATGCCACTGGAGTGCATCTTTTTTCGGTGTAAGAATAGGCGAATCTGGACACATGTTTGGCGTAGACATTTATGAGCTGCAGTTGTCGGATAGCTAGAACTCTGAGGAAGTATTGTTGGCCTCCATTCCACACACAGCTTTTCACTGCCAGGCCCCTGCAGGCCATTCCTCCTTTCCCGTTCCTCCTTTCCTTTTAGACCTGCGAGCGTTTCTAACGACTTCCATCGGAATCTGAAGTAGCAGCCGTCCTCATGCACCTCTAAAACGCATGAACGACTCAGTGCGTCAGCTCTTGGGGGAAGCTGCTGGGTGTTTGAAAGTGATCGGGTGGTTTCTGGGAGCAGTTTTGCTCAAGCAGAGTGATAAGGGCTGTGGGAGCTCCTCAGCTGTTGGGAGTGATCGTGCGGCAGAGCCGTTACAAGTCTGTTTTTAGGGTTAATAGCACTTTTTTTAATGTGCTGAAAAGGAGGCAGGTAGCCTGTTAGGGTATGGCTTCATTTAAAAAACGAACAAATTGAGCAAGTCATTTTCAGACCTAGCCTTGTGAAATTCTCAACAATGAAACATAAAAGAGTAGGGGGGTATTTAGGTTGACCGTGGGCTTGTTTACACAGGTAGAAGTGATTACAAAGGAGAATTCCTATCTATATTCTTCCCCATCCCCATAGTCTCATGACCCCAGTAGCTCCTATTTCAGGTTATCATATTGACCTTCTAATAACTGTCTCATAGTTTTTACAGATAAGCCACTCAGATGTCAGTGACGGGTCTTTGTTCTTCCTTGGCAGTACCTGACCACAGTCATTCCTTATGAGAAGAAACACGGGCCGCCATGCGTTGAAGACCTTCAGATACTAACGAAAAGTGAGCACGGACCAAACGGGCACCTTCCTCGCGCGCGCGCTCCGGACACCTGGTTTCAGGCCTGGTTTTGTGGGGTTATTTGTCTTGTTTTCTCGGTGTGGGACAGTAAGTGATAGATGTCACTGTGTGTGATGGCACCGTAAGTGGCTGGGTCACTGAGCACTGCACTCATGTGGCAATGACTGCATTCTTCTCTGGTTCCCTGATTGGCATGTGTCTGGCCCATGGACCAAAATTTGGGGGAGAGAGCGGGGTATGCTAACTTGCTTCTCTGTCATTTGTACTAATGTACGGATTTATCCCTTACCGCTAAGGCATTTTGTGGATATTCTATGCAGACGATGGTTAGTAGATGAATAGGACCGGCTAGGGAAGACTGGCTGAAGTGGGTCGAATTGTGTCCCCCTGGGAAGTTGAGTTTTCAGTCCTGGTTCCTGCCCTTGTGGGCGAAGTGTGTGAGGCATGGGGCTCTCGTATGCTCCCGGGGCCTTGTTAGTGTGGGATGTGTTTTAAGCGAGTCAATTTTGAGCTATGGAAAGAGCAGAGTAGGTACAGATGCACGCAAGGATTAGTTGGGGCAGAGAGAGGCCATACCACAAGAACCTCACTGAGAAACTAAGGCACAGAAACTGGAGGGGAAGGATTTTCCCCAGAGCCGAAGGGAAAACAGGGAGAGCGTGGGTACACCTTCCTTCCCCTGCAGCTGGTGCCCTGGATTCAGACTAACCAGCCTCCTCAGCGGTGATGAATCTCTGTTAAAGCAGCAGTAACAAACTGTTAACCTAAAGCACTCTCATTGTTCATGATTGTAGAACGCGAGGTAGCAGTTATAAGTAGAACGTAAGTTGAGAGTAATGTTGATACACATTCATTGAGTCAGTGCTTACTGTGATACTCTGTGCCAGGCCCGTTCAGGGCATGGATCATACTTTACTGAGCCAAGCAGACGATGATACTTTTTAAAGATAGAGTTGCCCCTGAGCTGGCAACTTTAAATAATTTGTTAGGTTTAAATGTGCATTATGGTAACCATTTCATTGAATGCCACAAATGAGCCCTGAGCTCTAAGTCTCTATTACTGGGACACCGTTGGCAGTCCCCTCTCGAGCACAGTGACAAATGGGGACAAACACAGTTGCTCTGCTCACACTGGGTACGGGTACGCGGGCAAGAGCTGGGCAATGAATAAGGCAACCCCCCCAGATGCGCTTGAACGGTGCTGTCGGCGGAGCCATTGAAAGCATAGTTAATGGAAAGTTGTATCATTAATGGAGCGAAAGCCCTGCCTCCAATTAGGATTACATCCACAAGTATGGAGTCTGACACTAAGAGAGGAACAAGTTCAACCCAAAGCGCTGCTTAAATAGGTTCTTTATCATTTCAACTTAGGAACCCTGGTGGTGCCAGGGTCGGCCGTTTGAAACCACCAGCAGCTCCGCTGGAGAAAGACCGGGCTTTCGACTCCTCCAGACAGTATCGGAGTCCCACAGGGGGTTGCCGTGAGTCTACACCGACTTGATGGCCATGAATTTGGGGGAGGGTTACTTTTATCATTTCAAATGTTTGTTAGAACTGCTAATTAAGAGGGAGCCTGCTGGGTTTTTCTATGGAATTAAGGAGAACTCCACTACGTGATTGGAAGCAGAAGTTCTGAGTCCTCTAGGAAGGGATTGCAATCTCGCTTCAAGGCCAGGGATGGACAGTAAGGCCGCAGCCTCCCAGGTGAGGAGACAGGACGCGGCCAAGCCAAGGTATCCTGCTTTGCGGCCCCAGGAAACAGGCCGATCCTGAGTGGGACGTCTTCAGATGGACACGGTTTGGAATCTTTGATTGTCGCTGGGTGAATGGTGTACATGAGGCCTTCAGAAAGTTCATGGGGAAATAGGATTTAAAGAGAATGGAATTTTTCACAAACTTTCAGAAGTCCCCTCATACGGATAGTGTACGAATGAACCACCTTCTTCGCCGGGTCCACAGCTTTAACTTTGAGACATTAGAGGGAAGGCAGTATGTGGCTGGATGGCTTTCCTTCTCTTTGAAAGTGAAAATGGGTTACCTCTTGAAAATTCTGGGGGAGCCCAACTTCTGCCGCTGCCACCCAGAGACATGAACATAAGGAAAGGCCCCATGGAGTCCCCGCTGTGTTGATGGGTGCGGGGCCGGGAGTTATCCAGCCAAGTCTCTACCTCCCATCAAATGACCTTTCCCTGGCTGGTTCTGGTAAGCAGGTGGTGGGAAGAGACGATAGGATTCACCTGCGAGTAATTGTGAACAGGCGTCTCTGAGTGCTATCCGGTTGCATACAAATGGACCCTTGGGGAGCAGGAGTACCTGCTCTGGACCAGAGATCTCTGCTCAGTGACCCTCCTGGGCCCAGATGACAGCGATAGCCTCAGAGGAGCAGCAGCAGACCCGGGAGCCGGAGCACGGAACAGAATGGCAGGCTTCTCGGCCCACAGAGCAGTGGAATCAAGTGCTTTCCTGCAGGAGGCTGGGTTGTGGAGTGGGGTGTCTCTGGGCACTTAATTGGGGAAGTTGGACTTGCTGACCCGCAGAGGTGGAGCTGAGTGCCTGCAGGCTGAGGCTCCGTGGAGTGCGCGCTTCTAGGCACTTCATTCCGGGAGCTGACCCATGGAGTGCTTCAGGCGCAGGCTCACAGAGTGGTGTGCCCCTTTGGGCATTTATTAGCAGACCGACATCTTTGTAATATGTCCTGGTGAAAAACAACTACCTTTGTTAACATCCTTAATCCACTCTTCAATCAGGAATTTTGTCTGTGTGTTTTTGTGTGGCCACTAGATGTTAGAACCCAGAGAGAACAAGTAGGGAGGGAAATTATAGAACACTAATGAAGTCAGCATCATGGAGATGCCACCATCCTCGGGAATGCTGCTGGAGGGAGCTTCCACATGCTATTGTTAGTCTTTCAGCGACTAACTGTAAGGTTATCAGTTCAAACCCTCCAGCCTCCCCAAGGGAGAAAGAGGAAGCTATCTGCTCCTGTGACAATTTACCGTCTCAGAAACCTATCTAGGGTCTCTCTGGGTCTGAATCAACACGATGGCAGTGGGATTTTGGGTATTAATGACGTCAATAATTATAGCTAATATTTAACCTAGGACGTGCTCTGAGCCAAGGCAGTACTACCGGTGCGCATCTAAACCAGTAACTTAGTCCTAACAGCAAGGCGTTGAGGCAAGTCCAATTTTTATTGCTGCTCCTCAGATTAGGCTCTTGGTGTACAAGGTGGTTAAGTCACTTGCTCAGAGCCACATGACTCAGGAGGGTCAAGGCCAGGGTGTAAAGAGGAGCGCTGACGTGGCAGGGATGCTGTGCATAGATGCCGCTGTCATCTGGCTGGGGAAACTAGGCTGTTCTTCCACAGTACTCTGGAGGAAGTGCAGTGTGCTTTGGGGGCTCCTCAGCTGCCCGATGTGTTGAAGCAGCTCTGATTCATAGCAGCCCTCTGTAAGCAGAACTAAACGCGCCTTTTCCAGGAACTCATCTCTCTGATTGTATGTCCAGCCTGTGTGAGATGAAGTCTTGCCGTCACTTTCAAAGAGCATCCTGGCTGTCCTTCCAAAACAGATTTGCTTCATCACTTGGCAGCCCATAGAATCTTTAATATTGTTCATCAAGACCACGACGCACATGCATCCTCTTTCTGTTTGCCTTGTTTGTTGCCCAGCTTTCATAGGCGTTTGAGGCGATTGAAAATACCATGGCTGGGGTCAGGGTCAGGGTCAGCTTAGTCCCTCAAAGCGACATCTTTGCTTTGTAGCACTTTAAAAGAAGTCCTTTGCAGCTGATTTGCCCCCTGGTCTGTATTTTATTTTCTAACCACTGGAACATGAGTGGAGCCCTGGTGGGGTAGTGGTTATGTGTTGAGCTGACAGATGCAAGAGCAACAGTTCAAAACCACCATCCGCTCCTTGGGAGGAACACGGGGAGCCTTTCATACCATAAAGAGTTACCGTCTCGGAAACAGGAGGGGCCGTTCCACCCTTTCCTATCCTGTGAGCCCACATGGACTCAACAGCAGCGAGAACGATTGGAGTGTTTCCGGTTTGCTTTTTTTTTTTTTTTTTTTTGGAGTTGAGAAAGATTTTATTTATTTATTTTTTTTAAACATTTTATTAGGGGCTCATACAACTGTTATCCCAATCCATACACACATCAATTGTGTAAAGCGTA